CGCTTCGTCAAAATCCATCTCGTCTTCCTCAATAAAGCGTCGAAGAGTCTTCATGACTTAACGGTGTATTGCGTCGTGTTTGATACGGTGAGTCCATTTTAGACGCTCAAAGTAAGTCCTTCGTAGCTTTCTTCTACTTACAGGTAATAGGACGTTGAAAGCAGCATTTTCGGCATAATTTTGGGATTTTTCCTTATCCAGGAACTGCTGGACTTCTTTCAGGTAGGTTTCTTTGACGACTTCCCCGACGTTTTGACGTAGCGGACTCCACGGATCTGGTTCATCGTCGTCCGCTTCTTCTTCCTCTTCGGAGCTGCTACTATCGTCATCTTCCTGTTCCTCTTCAGGCTCCTCTTCATCCACCTCTTCTTCCTCTTCTACGTTCTCATAATTGTTATCTTCCACGGGACCAAAAATATCTGTTGAACGATCATTCATGATTCTCGTCGACCTTCACCCAAGACAACGTGCTTCAAATGAGCCGAGTCGATCAAACTGATGTTTAATATACCATTTTGGGCAATGATCAGACATCCTCTCTCTTTCTTCGATGCCAGCGCGGGTATCCTTAGTGCGTCATGAGGTGACTAAACACGCGTTTCCTGTCATCACTAGCGGGATGTAAATCCAGGACCGTGTACCCAAACCGTCGTTCGGTCACTTTTTGATACGCGTCCATCATGTCTTGCCAGCAAGCGGGAAAAGCTTGAAGCAGTAAATTCTTCATCCCTAATCGATCTCTTGGATTTTTGAAGGCTACGATGTAATGGGCGTTCCTGGAAATACTTTTGGCGTATTTCCCTGGTGGAAATATGTCTTGGCACAAGTACAACACGGTGATATTTTGATGATGAGAGTGTTTGGTGAATAAGTCTGCATGTGGTGGTGGTGGTGGTGAATCTTGTGGTGGTGGTGGTGGTGGTGGTGGTGGTAAATGTGGTTGTGGCGGTGGTGGTGGATATGGTGGTGGTGAATCTGGTGGTGGTAAATGTGGTGGTGGTATAGGTGGTGGTGGATTTGGTGGTGGTGGTAAATGTGGTGGTGGTGGCCGTGTTAATGAATGTGGTGGTGGTGTAAATGGTGGTGATGGTAGTAAATGTGGTGGTGGTGGTATCGTAAAAGATGGTATGAAAACAACAAGGAACGACTCGCCAGCAGCTAGAGAGCCTATTGTCAACAGAACAAGGAGCACGTCAGAAATTACCGAAGACAATACTGTAAAAACAACAGGGAACGGATCAGCGAGTATTGGAGAAGTTACTGTGCCAAGAATAAGGAACGGATCAGGCAAAGACTTCATGACCAAAAGCAAAGAAAACTAGAGCAGAATATCGTGCGTTCTGGGGCCAGGGAACAAGAGTCTGTGAAACTGGAAACGAGTTTAGCTCCCAACACTTTGTGGAATACCGACGGTCAAGACTTAAAGAGTTAAAAATTGTAATCAATTCTCTTTCGG